CCTATTTTATTATTCTATACATCTACTCACAATCTATTAATTTTATTGCCAGAAAAATAAATACCCTCGGAGAAATGAAAATGGGTGTTGCATGGTGGTAGTGGTGGTGGGGGGCAGTATTGAGAGGGTTGAACAGTGGTCATGGTAAGTGAAAAGGAAAATTCCAGCTATCTGAAGGGTAGAGTCTAATTGTAATTAGCTCATTGACTCAGTTATATGTATGATTTGTCTGAATTTGAATAATGTACAAAGCACTGTCTCAGGCCTTGATTAGCCTAATCTGAGCAGAATACCAAGCAAGCATCAGGAGCTGAGAGACTGAGCTATCAGTCTCTTGACCCTGGTGACCTTGCCCAGCCACACCAGACTAACCCACATGAGTAACCCCACATAGCCAAGTGACTAAACCATGCAGGGTAGAGAAGGTGGATATGGAAAAGCTTGTTGGACAAGAAAAAAGCAGAAGCTATATCTCAGTGGACACTGGAATGTGATATGAGCGTAAAGTAAGCTGGACTAGGAGTCAGTATCAGAATTCTAGTCCGAGACAAAAATAGACGTGAAATCTGCCAGTTAGCTATCTTTCCTTCTTTTTAGCATAAACATTTGCCCTTATTATTTTCAATATAACATTTGATACACAAAAAAAATTATATGAAACACATTAATTATAAAGCACAAGTATAATAAACTATAAAACTACCACCCAAGCCAAGAATTAGAAAATTACTAATAGCATGCATTCATCTACTTATACATCCCTCTTCTATCCGATCCTCCTACTGTTCCCTACGGCCTTGCTTTTTTTCCCCCAGCAGCTAATTTTCAATCTACATCTTAAATGACCTCTCTACACTGTTGCTCCCACCACTGCCCCATTGTCCTTCTCCCACCTGCCCCAAACAACTCCTTTTCTTGGTTTCTGTAATACTGCCTGCCCTGATTTTCTTCCTACCTCTCTGGTTGTTCATTCTTTCTCCTCCCTCCCGTTCAGGCTCTTTCTCCATTACCCAGCCAATATAAGGGTTTTTTCAAAACTCCATTCTATTTACAGAAAACTCTAACATCTCAACAGCAAAAAGACAAATAATCCAATTAAAAAATGGGCAGAAGACATGAATAGACACTTCACCAAAGAGAATATTCAGGCAGCCAACAAACATATGAAGAAACACTCACTATCATTAGCTATTGTTGTTGTTGTTGTTATGTGCCGTCGAGTCATATCTGACTCATAGTGACCCCTCCTTGGGTTTCCGAGGCAGTATCACTACGGAAGTAGGATTGCCCAACCTTCCTTCCGAGGAGTGGCTGGTGGGTTTGAACCGCCAGTCGTCTGGTTAGCAGGCAGCTATCATTAGCTATTAGAGAGATGCAAATCAAAACAACAATGAGATACCATCTTGCCCCAGCACTAATAGCAAAGTTCAACAAGATAGAAAATAACGAATGCTGGGGAGGATGTGGAGACATTGAGACTCTTATACACTGCTGGTGGGACTGTAAAATGATACAACCACTATGGAAAGCAGTATGGTGATTCCTTAAAAAGTTGGAATTAGAAATACCATTTGATCCAGCCATTCCATTACTAGGATGAGCCAGGAGAAGAACAGATACATGCATACCCATGTTCATCGTAGCACTATTTACAACAGCCAAAAGATAAAAACAACCTAGGTGCCCATCAACAGAAGAATGGATAACCCAACTATGGTACATACACACAATGGAATACTAAAGAATAACGGAGAATCTGCAAAACACCACATAATGTGGATGAACTTGGAGGACATTATGCTGAGTGAAATAAGTCAGTCACAGAAGGCCAAATATTATATTAGTCTGTAATTATAAAAAGACAAAGAAAAGTTTATATATGAAAGGAAATTTTCTTTGTTGGTTACCAGGGGTGGGAGAGGACGAGAGGGAACACTGTTAGGTAGAGACATGTATTGATTTGGGTGAAGAGAAGGGCAATGTACCAAATGTGAGTGATCAACATGGTGGCACTAAGGAAGAGGAAGACAAGAGAGGTACATGGGAGGTACAGACAACAAAGATGAATCCTTCTGCACATACAGTACTGCACTGTTAGTGAAGGCAAACACTGATATACGGGAGGACAGATGGGTGGACAGACTGAACTATTAGGTATGTCTGTGGAGGGGAGAATGTGCCCAAAACCATGTACAGGGTTGGCAGACAATGTTTCTACAAGTATATATGCATGTTCTGTAAGAATTCCCAGGTATATAGTAAAGCTGACAAGGGGCAAGGCTGTAGTCACTTCTTGGCCACAGCCAAGGAAGCAAGTAGCTGGACCTGTGGGCTCGGGACCATAGTCACAGGGGACATCAAGCTCAATTGGCATAACATACTACATAAAACACTGTTCCACATCCTACTTTAGCGACTGGGATCTTAAAAGCTTGCAAGTGGCCATCTATACAATGATGGGTCTCTCTTCATCCAGAGCAAAGAAGAATGAAGAAAATCAAAGACACATGGAAGCAATTAGTCCAAGGGACTGGTGTACCATGCAATCCTCAGCCTACACAACTATGAGAACAGAAGAACTAGATGGTGCCCAGCTACCAGTGTCAACCACTCAGAGAGGGATCTATGTAGGAGATCCTGGATAGAGAGGGAGACCAATGTGGAATGAAACTCAGAATCGTTGAAAATGAAAAAAAGGACCAGGTTTGTTGATCTGATAGAGCCTCATGGAACCACTGAGACTATGGCCCCTAGTTGCCCTTCAGGTCTGGAATTGAACCCACTCCTGTGGCTTCCAGCCAAACAAAAGACAGGCATATTAGGTAGATACACTCCTTGGAGAGAGCAATCAGGGGAGTATAGAAGGGCTGTGTATGCACAGGGAGACAGCTCAGGTGGCAGGAGCGCATGAGAGGGAAGGACACAGGGAAATGGTAACTATGGGGAGGAAGTGGAAGGGGAGTTGTTGCACTGTGGTAAATTGTAACAAATGTCATGAGACAAGGTGTATATGAGCTGCTGTATGGAGGGTGAATTTGCTCTATAAACTTTCACCCAAATCACAATAAAAATTAAAATAAAAACAAAAACAAAAAACCTCCATTCTAGGTTCTCCTCCCTCGATTCTCCTTAACTTCCATATGCATTCTCTTTGCTTCAGTTACCACCTATACAGGTGATCTCCACATTGTTATCTTCAATCCCAACTTCTCTTCTCAGCTGTTGACCCACTGTCTCTCTCTAACAACTATAGTATACCCAAAACCAAACTCTTGATCTTCCTCTTCAAACCAGATCTTCTTCTAGGATTCCCCAGCATACGGTTGCCACTACCCATCATTTCAGAAGTCAAAAATCCCTGAGTCATCTATAACACATTCTTTTCTCAGAATCAATCCATCATCAAGTCCTCTTGATTTTACCTACTACACAGCTCTTGACAGTCTAGCCATTCCATGACCATCACCATAAGCCAAGCTCCCTTTCTTCCAAGCACTTTCTACTTAGATTATTTAAACAGTTGTTCCACAAACAATATGCTCTTCACACTACTGCCTCTTTCTCTAAAAAACAAAACAAAACAAAAACCAGTTGTCATGGAGTCAACCCCAACTCATGGCGACCCCATGTATGTCAGAGTAGAACTGTGCTCCACAAGGTTTTCAATCACTGATTTTTTTGGAAGTAGATCGCCAGGACTTTCTCAAGGCACTTCTGAGTGTTTCTGAACCTCTAACCTTGTGATTAGGAGTCAAGGCTATTAACTCTTTGTGCCACTCAAGGACTCCCCTCTTTCCCTAGTTACTGCTTATTCTTCCTTCTTAGCTCACTTATCCTCGGGGACGCCTTCCTTACCAAGTCCATAGCTTATTATAAGTTCTTGTTGTATCATGCACCAATGCCTTTATAACACTAACCACCATTATAATTTTATGCTTATTTGTATAATCTTGATTAATGTTTGTTTCCCTTACCAGAATTTTGAGCTCTAGGAAGGCAGGAAATACACGTTTTTATTTTCAACTGTGTATCCTCTATGCATAGCAATGCTCCTGACATCACAGTTTGCACTTAAAACATATTTGTTGAATGAATGATGTGGCACAGAAAGATCACACAGCTGTTGAGGAGGAGAGGCATTCATAAACTGCCTTCTAATTCCATTCTCACCAAGCAACCGCCTGGTTTTTTAATATTGTTTCCTAGGTCAAATTGCGCCTGAGAAAGGAATCAGAACATTCCTGGGCTCCACATTCTACATGATAGAGGTAGAGGACAAGAACTCTGGAATTAGGCAGCTTTAGATATGAGCCCCAGCTCTGGACTTACTAGCAGAATGACCTTGGGCAAGTCACTTCAATGCTGAGATCAGTATTCTCATCTATAAAATGGCGAAAATACTTGAATTTCTCATACATGGTCATATGAAGTTAGCGATTTAATAAAATAGAGAACGTAACATATTGCTTGGAATATCTTTCAGATTATTACTTTACTACTGCTATTATTAGTTTACTAACATTATCATTAAATGTTAAATTACTAATAACATGAGATCCTGGGTAGATGAATGGCTTCTAAACTCCCTCCCAGCTCTAAACAATTAGGATTCCACCATGTTGTTAATGATTGACAACTTTTTGTTTTTTGAAACACACCTCAATTTTGCTTAAAACTGTAACATAAAAGACCTAAAAGACTCTACTCCCAACAAGCTACATTCCTAGAAAACTACTCATGGGAAATACTGCCAGAGAGTTCAGGCATCATTTCCCTTGAATACCATATCCTTGTTGCCTGCTTTGCTTTTTCTTTGGGGTTCTTGGCATGTGGTAAACTCAGAGAAATTCTGGAAATTCTGGCTGTAATAGGCCAATCTTAACTTCTAAGTTTGGAGGACCCGCCAAAATCTTTTCACGTGCATGCCTGATTTGACCTCTGGCCTAAGCACACAGCTTTGAAAGAGTTTTATGGCTTAATCCCTGAGCAACTAGGAATACCTGGGATCCAACAGTCCTTGCTCCACTCCCCAGGCCATCTCTCTCACAGCATTGCTGATCTCATGGCGGGATGTGTATGCAAAGCAGACGTTCAGGAAACACCTGAGAAGGGAAGAGCCAAGATATTCACCAGAGAGCCAGCAAAGCTGGGGAGCACAGACCTATGACTGGAGTCACTGACACAGAACACTCCTTCCCTGGAAGAACATATACCAAGTGTTAACTGTGGATACCTCTGAATGGTGAGATTTTAAGTTTTTTGTTTTTTCCAAGTTTTCTTGAAATAAATGTTACTAGTTTCTTAATAAGGAACTCTGGTGGCATAGTGCCTAAGGTATCTGACTGCTAACCAGAACACTGGCAATTCAACCCCACCAGCCACTCCTTGGACAGAAGACTGGGCAATCAACTTCCATTCAGATACTGCCTCAGAAACCCAAGGAGGGGTCGCTATGAGTTGGGACTGTCTTGACTACAGTGAGTTTGGTTTTTGTTTTTTTAGTTTCTTAATAATATAAATATTTAGTGACCCTTATTGCTCTCCTAACCCTCTTAATTTTTACTGCCACCAGCTTTCAGAGGATACGGACCCATGTGATATTAGCACAAGCAAAATAAGGAAATCTGATGCAAAACAAATTCACTGCCAAACACATATTATGTTTCAAAGCCACACATAATGAAGCTTGGATTATTGAACTGTTTCTTTCTCTGTCTGTATGACCTCTCATAGTCATCCTACCCGTGGTTTAAAGAACTGGAATAGAAAAAGATCAGTCTCCAGAAAGACAGGTATGAGGACTGCTATATAATCACCCCATCCCCTCACAAGTAAAACATTTATGTTTTCATGGGCCACATGAAGGAGGAAGTGGAACTGTGTGTGTGTGTATAAATGTACACACAAGTAACATAATGTTGCACCTCAAACTACTCCTGATTGCCTCTAGCATCAAATGCAGATCAAGAAAGGCCCAGGATATCCTCAAAAACAGGCAAGGAGTCAAAGACAGATACAGGCCCCTAAGGGGGAAATCTGAGTACTTACTTGTTGTAGTTTTTGGTGGCTTGTACAGCTTGTGCAATCAGCTCCTGGAGATCCAACGGCAACAAATGCAGATCGCCCAGGACCCGGATACACACCCCATGCTTTTGCAGTTTCTCTCTGATCAAGGAGGGGAAAAGAAGGCAGTTGGACAGAGCATCTGCCCAAGTGGAGGGAACCAAGCCTCTGATAATAATGAACTACAAAGATGCTGGGTGCTTTCCTATATGTCAGGCACTGTTCTACATATATTATTTCACTGCATCCCCTCAACAACTCTGAAAGAAGTATGTGATATTCCATTTGAGAGCAGGAAACTGAGGCTCAAATAGGAGAAGCAACTTGCCCAAAGTTATATAGGCACAAGTTCTGTGTCAGGACTGAAACCCAGGTCTGTCTGTTTTGACAACTCAAACTCTCTACCACACGTTACACCACTTCATGTGTCCTTGTCGGCAAATTGCATTTTATGTATCATGCTATGTACTGTCCCATCTTGACAAGCAAATAAACTCCTTAAGGGCAGGAGCTGTGTTATTATTTTTGTATCTCCTAGTGAAATATGATAATAGTGACAGTGGACATTAATTTGTATTTACTCAGTGCCAGACAGTGGTCAAAGTGCTTGACATGTACCAAAACACTCCATCCTTACACTGACCCATTCCCATTTTACTATTACTATTCCCAGATGAGGGAACTAAGGCAAAGGGAGGTTAGGTAATTTGCTCAAAATCAGAAAGTTAGTGAGTAGAAAGCCAGGATTTGAAGCTAGGGAGTCTGGCTCCAGAGCCTGTGCTCTTAATCATGATATTGTACTACTACCATATAGTAATTCCCAAACTCTGCACCCAGGGAAAATGAATTCACTGTTTCCCAACTAGCCTCCCTCATCTGGAATCCTATGGAGAAACTGAACAATGAATGTTTGCAAAATGAAGCTTAATAACAAAAAGTCTATTGTGGGGTGGGTGTATCTGGTAGGTCCTTGAGGACCTTGATCCAGACCTGAAGGTCCGGATCCATACTGTATCCATCCTATAACCCTCAACTGCATTTTTTCAAGGACGAAGCAAGATCTAAACATGTACTTTGGAGAACCCAGTGGAGCTACAGTAAACAAGTGAATAATCTATAGTCAATTCAAAGTAATTTTAATAATACTTAGATTCAAAGCCTGGTGCCATTACTTCCCAGCTGTGTGACCTTACATAACCACTTAACTTCTGTGAGCCTCAGTTCCTCCTCTGTAAACTGGGGGTGATAACTCTCCCTGCCACACTATCTCCACAGGCTTGTGTTAAGTATGTGACAGTGCTTATTTTCAGACATTAGGCATAGGATCAGTGAGGTCTACGGAGAAGAAGAAAAATGTAAAAACTTGGAAAGGAGCCAGAAGGCCTTGATTCCCAACCCAGCTCTGCCACTAGCTTGCTATGTAACCACAGGCAAGCCCTCCTCTTAACACTTTAGTTTCCCAGCTTATAAAGCTAAACTAAGCTAGTGGTTTTCAAACCTTTCAGCCTGAGAACTCTTTCTTCAGATAAAATCTTATGTAAATGTCCAATATATAAAATAGATAAATGAAAGGCACCCTGTCCTCCACTCTTTGTTTTCTTTTTTCACTCTTGTTCTGGAGCTCTATGACTCATTGTTAGAAAATCACTCCTAAAGTTTCTTCTTGCTCTGTCCAGGACTTAATGATAGCATAAGAACATTTTCTCTACTACTGGTTGATTCAAGCAATCTCAGTAGCATTTATATGACATGCATTTTGACCTTTCAAGGACACAGAATTGTCTCTGATCTTTTGAAGGACACCATAGTAGTTAAGAGCTCAGGACCTAGAGTCAGAAAGACCCAGTTTTGCATCTTGGCTTTGCCTATCTCATAGATGTGTGATCCAGGATACCTGCCTTAATCTCTCTGGTTTTACTTTCCTCCTCGCTAATATCATTCTCGTGGGATAATGTAAAAACAAACAAACAAACAAAAAAACAAACTCACTTCTGTCGAGTTGGATCCAACTCATAGCAACCCCTCCTCGGGTTTCCAAGGCAGTATCACTATGGAAGTAGATTGCCCAACCTTCCTTCCGAGGAGTGGCTGGTGGGTTTGAACTGCCAACCTTCTGGTTAACAGTCAAATGCCTTAGGCACTATGCCACCAGAGCCCCTGGGATAATGTGAAGATTAAATAAAAATATGTGTTAGGCTCAAGGCCTGGCACGTAGTAAGCACTTAAAAAAAGTAAGATGGTATACTGATATAGAAAGACATTATCATTCACAAAGGCATTCTTCCCTCCCATGCTTTCAGTGTGAAGTACACAAGGCTTTGAACACCTGGGATGTGCCCCCTATATCCCATTCCCCAAACCCTTGGGTTTAAACTCTGAGCCACACTTGTTCTGCTGGGGACCGGGAGTAGTATCTGTGGTCCAGAGTTTCATCATCCTGATGTGAACAGAGAGAAGCCTATCCCCATCACCCCCAGAAATTCACCCAGAGACAGAAATGACAGAATTGGCTTCCTCAAGAGCTGTTTCAGGTCCAGCCCCACTGGAGCTCTAGGCTCTCTGTGTTCCCATCTTCCTAGCCCTGGTGTAAGCAGGAGCTGGGCAGAGAACAGTCGTAATGAAGACTTCTAAGCAGTCTTGGCTGGTAAGAGCTCTGCAGTTTGAAGCCTACCAGGTTCCATCAAACTTCCACTATTCTTTCTGGTTTTGCTCCCTAAGTTAGCCTAAACTTACCTAAGTTAAGAACGATGCTGACGCTTCCCCATAAAGTATTCTTATGCACCACACCATCCCTCCCAAGAGAACATGCAGGAGATATAGTAACATTTTAGGGATGACTGCCTAGCACAAGATGACCTTTTCAATGATTCTTTCACCCTACTTCCCAGGCTACAGTGTACTGGTCTGAGGGTAGAAATTTAAGCTGTTATTGTTGTTGTTGTTATGTGCTGTCGAGTCGACCCCGACTCATAGCGACCCCTCCTTGGGTTTCCGAGGCAGTATCACTACGGAAGTAGGACTGCCCAACCTTCCTTCCGAGGAGTGGCTGGTGGGTTTGAACCGCCAGCCTTCTGGTTAGCAGTCAAGTGCCTTAGGCACTATGCTACCAGAGCTCCTGAAATTTGAGCTAAGGCAGGCCAATTAAAGGGTTTAGTGTATTCTTGGCTGTTCTCTTAAAGCAGAGAAAGCTGGTCTGCAGAGAGAGATGAAAGTAAATGTACAAAAAGGCTCTACTTAATAGATCTCAATTCCTGGTTTCAGTTTTGCTTGAGGCTGGCTGTACTTGTCCTTGCATTCTGTGGAAAACATCTATAGCCTCAAATAAAGTCCCCCTTTAAAAAAACAAAAAAGAAAAACTAGCATATATTTCTAATATTTGCCACTGAAGACTTCTAACAAATTTTATAAGCATTTACAGGGTCCATTAAAGAAGCCTTAGATAAACAGAGTCATGAGGGTTAAGGAAGGCTGGGAGTGGCGGAAGAATACGCCTTCCCCTCTGGCAACATCTTACTGTTCTTCCATCAAGCGGCTGAACTTCTGCCGGGCCAGATCCATTAGCCCATCTACCTCACTCTTGGAGCGTTTGAAGTTCTCAATGCTGAATGCGTAGACCGTCACCTCTAGGATGCCCAGGTTCAAACACCAGCGCAGAGTCTGAGAGGGGAGAAGGCAAGGAGCTAGGGTACAAGGAAAGGAACAGTGGGAAGGGACATGAGGTGCTCCTACCCTGACTCAGTGCTGGAGGTAGGAGACACACTTTTCTTCCTCTCTCAAACTGTGAAAACCTTGGATAACAGCAGTGCTTCCTTATGTCAGAATAATGGACCAAGTAAACAGAAAGCCACCACTTAAAAAACTGAATAATGTCAACTTAAAAAGTACTACTACACTGATGGCACTGTAGTTCACTGTAAAGAACTTTTCACTGGTTCTAGTCCCTGACCCCATCAGGCACTTGCTATAGAACTGTAGGCAAATCAATTAACCTCTGTGGGGCTTAGTTTCCTTATATGTAAAACTGGATTACAATCTAGCCTTCCTAAAATGGCTAAGGAGCAATATAAAAACACAAGGTATTATTACTCACAGCATAACTTCATTATCCTGGTAGACTGAAGGACTGATGATGTATAAGAATAAAAGCAACAACTGAACAGCTGTGCAACATTTAATAGTCTGTGAAGGATCACATACAATTTCCCTTGATAACATGATTCTATTTATTCCATTTGATTTTTCAAGTAACCACAGGCTTTATTTTATAATACCTATTTTATAGATGATAAAACTGAGGTTCAGAGAGTCGAAAAGCTTATCAGAATTTTCTATCTCTACTGCATGATTCTATTAGATGAAGTTCCAAAACAGGAAAAATTAATTATAATAATAAAAATCAAAGCAGTGGTTGCTGGGCAGCTAGGGGAAGAGGAAGAAAAAGGGCCAACTAAGAAGGGCATAAGGAATTGTATGGAGGGATATTCTATATTTTGACAGGAGTGTGGGTTAAACAGACTAATATAAATGTCAAAACCCAAAATCTGTACATTTCACTGTATGAAATTATAACTCAATTAAAAAAGGAAAACTCATACTGCTCTAACTCAGTACCATTCCCTAAGGCGGAGAACAAAACTGTGGTTAAGAATAACAATGTTGAAATGGGGAGCTTGGAGGTGAAAGGTAGGGGGTGGAAGACATTCAAGCACAGAAGTGAAAAAACAGATCTGAAGATCTGTCTTTCAGATTCCTTAACAGGCATACAAACAAATCTATTACCACCTCAGAAAACTTACCATTGAGAACTTGGCACCTGAACAGGCACAGGCCCTGCAGACCTTGCAAGGTAGCCATTTTGGATGGCACAACTGGGTCAGACCCACTACTGCTGATCTCAGCCAAATATAGCTATCAATAACAACAGCTTCAATTTTTTGAGCACTTCTTCAATATGTCATGCCCTGTGCCACATGCTTTTCATGTACCATCTTGTTTAATCCTCAAATCATCTCTTGAGGTGGAGATTATCACTATCCTCATATTATAGATGAAAAATTGAGGCAGAGGGAAGCTAGATAACTCACTATAGGTCAGAGACAGGAAGTGGCAGAGCTCCTAAGCACCAGGCAAAACTACCTCTTACTCAAATTATGAAAGACAGACTGGAATCAATAAACCTAAAAACCTGGCGTCAGGTCATATTCTTGTGCCAGCATTCATGGACTACAGACCATTATTTCCATTCTTCTGAAATTCAGTTTCACAAAGATTGGCATATTCCATTCCTATTGTTAAATTTAATGTTTCCTAATTTGCAATATGCATTAAAACCATGAAATATTCATGGCCTTTGCTTAGGGTAACCAACTTATCCCAGTTTGCCTGACATTTTCCCAGTTCTAATACCGAGAAACCTGCTTGCTGAGAAATCCCTGAGACTTGAACAAAGCAGGACAGGTAATCATCCAGCCTATGCTCAGAAATCTCATTCCAGGAATTTATCCTAAAATTCCTAAAAGCAGTACTATTTATAATGTCCACTAACAGTGGAGCAACTAAACAAATTATGTCAGATCCACAAGATGAAATGGTCTAGTCATTAAAACACATCATCTGAAAGATTGTGTGTCAACCTAGAAAAATACTTGCCAATATGTCAAATGAAAGTAAAGTTATCAAAGCTATAAATGTAATTTCATGATAAATGTAGAACATACTACAAGGCCTAGGATGAGGCACAGAGAAAAATAGAAACAATTGATTTACTAAGGTAGCAAGAACAGCCAATTTTGTGCTTATTTCTAATATTTTCCGATGAGTCACTGGGCAATTAACTTGTTAATGTTAATATGAAACTTATAGCAAGCAAGCAATAAAACAAACAGCTATAAAAACATTCTTGGAAACACAGAAAATTTGGAGGCTGGTTTTCTAGCTATAATCCAATCCTCCACAGACCATTCACCTTGAGTTGTGCCACCCACACCCACCTCAGCAAGCTTGTTGAACCCCTGTGAGTGGCCCTCCTGCCGCTCCACCTGGCACTTCTTGGCATAGCGACGGTTCCCATCCATTATAAATGCAATGTGTTTGGGCATTGGGCCTGCCTGTGGAGTAAGACAAATGATGAACATACTACAAACTCTTCAGGGCAAAAGGGGGACACTATTCCCAAAGCAGGTAAGACCGGGGATATATATGAAAATCCTGAGGAAGATAACTGGGTATTTTAAGCTTTTAGCTCAATAAATCGGTATTAAGCACTTTTATTTATTCATGTGTTTACTGAGCACTTTCTACATGCCAAGAACTATGCTAGACTTTTTATACTTTATCATATAATACTATAAAGCAAATATTATATTCATTTTACAGGTAGAAAAACCAAGGCTCAGAGAGGTCAAATAACTTTAACTTACACAAGTCAGAAAGCTAAGAACAGGTAAGGTGGGGATTCAAAGTAGGTCTATCTGCTTCCAGAGTTCATCTTTTAACCATGTACTATTAACCACCACCTTGGTTTCATTAGTCCAACTGAAAGGCTCAAGGATACTGATGGGTATGGTTAAATGCAGAAGGCATCCCCCACATAAAAGAGGCACCCACTCCTCACCTCCAGCCAACTGCTGCCACACAGGATATAGGGTGGGGAAGGCAATGCTGAATCTTCTAATTTTTCAAAGAAAGCCAAAACTCAGGATTTTTACATAAAAACTTAAATGTCAGGAGCCATTTTAAAACAAATAAAAAAGACATTTTAAAGGCTAGAAGCCCAAAGAAAGCTTTTATCTGGCTTACAGCAGCTTCAGATTGTGTAGCACAGCAAAAATAGTCTTGCAGTCCAGTGAAATTACTTCATATGGCCCTTTAAGCCATAGTCTTTGTAACTCCCACGAAATGACTGAGTGGGACTATGCAAACGAGATGCTTGTGGCCCATCAAGAGGATCTGATTGCTTGCTAAAATGTAAATAACATGCATAGCACCCTTGAAGGGGTGTAGCCATGCCAATAAGGTGTACGGAACTCTAGTAAGAGGATTAGTCAGTTTTGCCATCCCAATAGGCTTAAAATGAACCATCCCAAATGCAGAACAGGAAGGAGGACCTCACGACCACCAAGAAAGAAGAGCCAGGAGTAGAGCATGTCCTTTAGACCCAGGGTCTCTGCACTGGGAACCTCCTTGACCCAGGAGACAGAGACAGCTGTAACACTGGAGACTGAGAGCAGTGGCAGAAAAATGGCGACAGCAGAGCCAGGAGAGCGGCAGGAGACAGTGTTGTGGGCTGGGGCGAGAAAGCTAGTCTTTGGGCAAGAGGCTTGCTGGTGGAGTAAGGTGCCTTCGGGTACCTGGGGGAGCCAGGCTTGCTGATCTATGGAGCAAGAGCTGAGCACCTTTGGGCTGAGGCTTACTGGCAGAGTGGGGTACCTCTGGGGCATTTATCGGCAGAGCTAACAGAGCTTTGTGACACTTGCCTGAGCAAGGCAGAGACCAGGTTGAGGGGCCAAGTGCCAGAGAAAAACCTGCCTGCAACCACGATTGAGAAGAGGCTCTCTCCACTGAAGAACAACATCCTGAGCATTCCTGAACCTGAACTGTAACCTGTTACTTCCCTAATAAACCCTATTAACTGTGAGTATCGTCTGTGAGTTCTGTGGCCAGTCCAACAAATTATCAAACCCAGCAGAGAAGCAAAGTGTGCCATGGGAGGGACAGTTAGTGTCACAACTGGTATAAAGGTTGGAGGGTGGAGACATGTCTGATCTCTGCTTCACAGACATCTACCTTAAGCTGCTGATTTTTTACATTCCTTCCCCTTTGTGAAGTTAGAGGAGAGCAGATGCCTTCTAGCCATGTCATTTTTACAGGACTCCTCAGTCTATTTTCCCTCACCTGGAAGGGCTCTTCAATGACTGCTTCACCAGGCACCTCTCCAATATTTTCTACTTTTGTTAACTACAAGTAGCATTTGAAAAAACAAAATCCAGTGAAATCATGCCGCTTGTTATTCACAACACATAACTGTAGTGGTTCCCTAAGGAGATACTTTCATTTCCACCTGCTAGCGATCATTTGGCGTTTGTGTGTGAGTGTGTGTGGGAATAAGGCTTACTGACTCACACATTCACTGTTACCAGCTGCTTGACAGCCCATGGCTGACAGCAAAAACAAGCTGACTGGCCCTGTTCTCAAACTAAATCTCTGTCTCAAGCCCAGGATATCATGATTCCTAGAAAAAAAAAAGCCCAAGGAAGATTTGGGGAGATAAGGAATATGTAGGAAATAGAGTGATTGTAGATTTCAAATGGCTAATAGACAGCCCCAATAATAATAATAATAATAATAAATTAAGAAATAATAAAGGAAAAAAGTAATTAAGAACTGCTGGACACTGTGCTAAGTGTTTTATATGTAAGTTTCATTTAATCCTCATAATCATCCTTTGGGAGCTCTGGTAGCATAGTGGCTAAGACACTTGTCTGCTAACCAGACGGCTGGCGGTTCAAACCCACCAGCCACTCCTCAGAAGGAAGGCTGGACAATCCTACTTCCGTAGTGATACTGCCTCCGAAATCCAAGGAGGGGTCGCTATGAGTCGGGTTTGACTCAACGGCACATAACAACAACAACAATCATCCTATAATTGTTAAAGTCACATGGTTAGTGACAGAACTTCACTTATGTCTGTCCTCCTAAGCCCAAACTCTTAACTGTTATGCTCTACTATCACATCAAAGATTAGTTATTCTAAATAAATCCAGAGGACAGTACTAGGAACAATCGATTAAAGTTCTAGGGAAACAAATTTCAGTTTTTTATAAAGAAGGCTTAATAGTCTGCTGCTCAACAATGAAAGAAGAACCATCATTTGGTATTAGGAGGCCCTGGACTTCCTGACCTGAAAATGTTAGTTAGGACAATAATCTGCTAGAAACACAGACCTGGAAGTTACTTTGCAATTCTAAGACTTCATGTTCCCTTGCTAAATTCCACTCAATGTTATGGATCGTTCAACTTTAATAATAGGTTTTCATACAAAATTACCCAATGACCAGAAGGCCAGTTTGTGTCCTGGGCTATTGCTCACCTTTATGATGTTGGCACAGAACCGCTCCCAAAGTGACAGCTCTCCTTCCTTGATCCATGACATGGTTCTTGCCCTGTTAGGAGATCTCCCCAGAACAAGACACCAGCCAAGTAACCTTGGCTAAACAAAATAAGTCACCAGGGCTTGGAAGAAGCTAGTTCCTTGCAATCCCCGGGGGATTTACCTGGAATGTGGACAGCAGCCAACATTAGACTCCGAAGGCACTGGTCTAGACCCCTACTCCTTTTAACCAAAGTCGTAGAAGCCTATGGGACCTCTGGGGTAGAGCTCTTTCCTTGGTTCTTCTCATTTCTTGGTCCTTGCTCCCATTCCCTTTTCCTCAGGATCTGCACTGGCTTCTTCTGAACATCTAAGTCAGCTTTCCGCCACATCCTACAGCCTACATCCTGATCACTCCCCGCCTCTTCCTTCTGCATCTTTCCCCAAGCTGTTCCCACTCTGCACTCCCAGCTACTAATCCCTTCAGTAGTCGCACTGTTAACCTCCTACGTCAGCGTTCTCATTTTCTATTACTTTCTCATTTTCTATTACTTCCGCTGTCCCCATTATTTCTCCCACAGCTGCTTTCCCATCCAGTCACCTCCCTCTCCTCTCGACTACCCCTGCAGCTCGGCACCTGATCAGCTTCTCTCCGAGCCCTTCAACCATTCCAGTTGGCCGACACTTCCTCACGACGTGGCGCTGGAAGACTACGTCATCGTTGGGCGCTAGGACACGTCCCTTCGTTAGCTAGTGGGCGGAACTTTACTCTGCGCATGCGAGCCAGGAGGAGTCGCGGGGCCAACATTTCGGGGCTGTGATTTGCGCAGTCGGGAAGACGGGGAGAGGGTTGAGTGTGATAGCCGAGTGTGCGAACTAGGGTGGTGGGCGGGGAGGCTGTTGGCCTTGTGTTGGGGACAGGGCTGGCGACAGCGGGGTCAAGACAACCTGTGGGGAGTAGAGGAGGCAGTGGGGAGCGGAGGAGGCAGTAAACCCCTAAGTTAAGAGGCTGCAGATGTACTGTGTTGAAGAAAATGTGGGGCAGGGCAAGAATTCCTACCTCAGAATCAGGGCTTCTCAGTGACTGATAGCAGTTTAGGTGGCACAGTGCCTAAGGCATTTGACTGCTAACCAGGAGGTTGGCGGTTCAAACTCACCAGCCACTCCGCGGAAGGACTACTGGGTAATCTACTTCCCTAAAGATTTACCGTCTGGGAACCCAATGGGGGCCCTTCGCTATAAGTCGGAATCCTCTAGATGGCAGTGGGTATGGTTTTTGGGGGTGGGGGAGAGCCGAACTGGACTTCTTTAGAGGCCTGGTATGTTGTTAGGGGACGTGGATTGGGCGCCTACACACAGCGTCTCTGTACAGCAGAACAAAACACTGCCCGGTCTAGTGCCATCCTCACAATTGCTAAGCTTTTCATAAAGTTGTCCAGTAATATATCAGACACTGTTTCATTGCTATTCATAAGGTTTTAGCGGCCAGTTTTTTCAGAAGTGGATAGCCCTGTCCTTCTTCCTACTCTGTCTTCTGGTATGGTGCAGTCTTAAAAATCTATTTTACTGGGTTTTTATTTATTTTCCGTGGATTTAATCGTTTGGAATGAAGTTCCTAGCCCTATTCAATTTTATAATATCAACTCGTTTTGTGCTTATCTCAGGAAATCAGATTTTATGATTTGCAGATTCCGGGGACCCACTATACGAAGTCAAAAAAGGGCTAAAGCCAGAAAGCACTCTGCTATACAAATAACTTATGAAATAACAGAAAGGCTTTCTGTTTATAGAACACTTCAACACCTCAATAACAAAAAGACAAACAATCCAATTAAAAAATGGGCAGAAGACATGAATAGACACTTCACCAAGGAGGATATTCAAGCGGCCAACAAACATATGAAGAAATGCTCACGATCATTAGCTATTAGAGAGATGCAAATCAAAACAACAATGAGATACCATCTTGCTCCAGCACTAGTATCCAAGCTCAACAAGACAAAAAATAACAAATGCTGGCGAGGTTGTGGAGAGATAGGGACTCTCATACACTGCTGGTGGGACTGTAAAATGGTACAACCATTGTGGAAAGCAGTATGGCGATTCCTTAAAAAGTTGGAATTAGAAATGCCATTTGACCTAGCCATCCCATTACTAGGTATATACCCTAGAGAAGTGAGAGCCATGACAAGAAGAGATACATGCACGCCGATGTTCATCGCAGCACTATGTACAATAGCCAAATCATGGAAACTACCTAGATGTCCATCAACTGAGGAATGGATAACCAAACTATGATACATACACACAATGGAATACTATGCACCGCTAAAGAATAATGTAGAATCTGCAAAACACCACATAACGTGGATGAACTTGGAGGACATTATGCTGAGTGAAATAAGTCAGTCACAAAAGGACAAATATTGTATAAGTCCGTTATTGTAAAAGTTAAGGAAAGGTTTATCTATTGGAGGAAATTTTCTTTGTTGGTTAGCAGGGGTGGGAGGGGAGGGGAGGGAACGCAGTTAGATAGTAGTGATAAATACTGATTTGGGTGAAGAGAAGGACAATGTACCAAATGTGAGTGACCAATATGGCAGCATTGAGGATGAGAAAGACATAGAGAGGTACATGGGAAGTACAGACAACAAACATGAACCCTTTTGCATATACAGTACTGAGTTGTCAGTGAAGGCAAACGGGTATATGGACGGATAGATAGGTGGACAGGCTAAACAATTAGGTATGTCTAAATGGGGAGTGTATCCAAGATCATATATAGGGTTGGCAGACAATGGTCCTATAAGTTTATGTGAGTGATCAGAATTCCCAGGTGTATAGTAGAGCTGACAAGGTGCAAGGTTATGGTCATTGCTTGGTCACAGCCAGCTACCCAGAGCGACTGAGTAGTTGATCCTGTGGGCTTGGGACCATAGTCGCAGGGGACATCAAGCTCAATTGTCATAACATACTATACAAAACATTGTTCCACCTCCTACTTTGGCAAGTAGCGACTGGGATCTTAAAAGCTAGCAAGCTGCCATCTAGATGCAACAATGGGTGTCTCCTCGTCAAGAAGAAAGAAGAAAACCAAATGAATGGAAACAATCAGTCCTAGCGACTGGTACACCATCTGATCTGCAACCTATACAACTATGAGACCAGAAGAACTAGATGGTGCCTGGCTACCACTGTCATCCACTTGGAAGGGATGTAGGAGATCCTGCATAGAGAGGGAGAACAATGTGGAACTAAATTCAAAATCATTTGGAGGCAAAAAAAAAAAGAAGGTGGGGACCAGGTTTGCTGGTCCAATAGAGCCTGGTGGAACCACTGAGACTATGGCCCCTAGCTGCCCTTCAGGTCTGGAATTGAACCCACACCTGTGGTTTCCAGCCAAACAAAGTACAGGCAAGTGAGTTAAACATTTACCTCAAGTAGACACACACCCTGAAGAGAACAATCATGGGAGAAGGAAGGGCTGCTTATGCACAGGGAGACAGCTCAGGGCGCAGAAGAGTATGGAGGGATGGACACTGGGAAGAGGTAACTATGGGGAGGAAGTGGGAGGGGAGCTGTTGTAAATTTTGGTCAATGACATGAGACAAAGTATATGTGAACTGCTGTTTGAAAAGTGCATTTACTCTGTAAATCTTCACCCAAATCAAAATAAAATTTTTTAAAAAATAGAATAATGAAAATAAACTAAAAAAAAAAAAAAAAGGCTTTCTGTTAACCCCTAGTAGAAAAAAACAAGGCATTGGCTTTGTACTTAATTTTTATGGAAAGCTGTTGTAGGAATTTGAGGCTCTGACTCACTAAAAAAAGTTGGAAGTCTATTTTCTCAAACTTAAAAAAACAAAAACACCTTTTAAGAATCTGATGCAACCAGTCTTCTGTTCAATGCATGAAACATCCATCTGAATGTTCTGAATATGGAATAGAATTACAAGGCAAGGAGATACTGCATTGACGATGCCTAATCCATTGTGTCTTCCCTCTGTCCAAAGAGAGCTCTGATGGCTCTGTGGTTAAAGCATTGAGCTGTTTAACCAAAGGTTGGGTGTTTGAACCCATCAGCAGCTCCACTGGTGAAAGACAAGGCAGTTTGCTTCTGTAAAGATTTATAGCCTTGGGAAACCTAATGGGGCATTTTTACTATGCTATAGGGTCACGAGTCAGAACCGACTTGATGGCAGTGGGTTTGGTCCCTTTTATCATAAAAGGGTTACGTTGAACAGAATAATATGATCAAAGAAAGGCATAGAGGTAACCCACCCAGTAATAATCTTAAACTTTTCCATCCTTAATGCTTTGCAGCCTAGAGGGTAAATTTTGGCCTAGCAGGTTTACTTCAGTTTTGCAAAGACCATTTACTAAAGCCCAGTCGGTTTGCTGCTTTATGAGAATGTAGTTAGCTTTGGCTTTTTGTACAGGCCAGAAACCGCCTTGTCGGATATATGAAACTTCTTACTCTTGCTCTAGTAAAGTTGCTCTATTTCCTTGCACTTTTGTGTAATTACTGGTACACGTCTAGTCAAGTGTCTTTAAAAATCCTTCCTGTAGGGGGAGCTAAAGGTTTTAAAATAAAATGTGTAGCAGCAATATGCTAGCAAACTTTGGCTCAAGAAAATGTCAAGTGTTTATAAGCTAGTCAGTGTCATCTCCTCTGGCCTCAGTTTCCTCCCTTCCACTTATTTCCCTCTGGGGTGGTAGAAGGAAGTTAATATGTGTAAAGGACTTTGGGGCATAAGGGACAAAGTATTATTACGGTCTCAAGCCACGGCCCCATCTTTTCATCGCAGCTAGTGGCACAAGTGACCCCATTCTTATGCATGCCAAACCCCTAATCCCCTCTTGAATGTGGCAGCTTCCAAGGAAAGGACAAGAGGACTTAACTAGAAACAAAACCCCACAGTAATGAGGTCCTAAAAGGATTGAACTTTGCAGATTCAGTCCTAACATAGTGGCTGAACAGAAAACTTAATGGCTCTTCTGTGACCTGAGTCCCAGTCCAAGGTGGGAATTTTATGCCAGAGGAAAAGCATCCTAAATATCTGACAAAGGAGACAGGTTCAGTACCAATAAGTCTTTATTTATTCATTGTATTTTCCCAGGGAAAAGAGAGGGGAAGGCAAAAGGATCAGCATGTGTTACAAAATGATACAAGGGAAAGGAATTACCCAGTACAGCAAAATAGCCATCAAATAAACACACCCCAGTGATGGGGGGTGTCATCAAAGCCCAATGGGGCTCAGCCTCCTGCAGTTCAGGAATGAGGTGAAGGGATCAGGGAAAGAACAGACAGGTACACACTTTCCTACCCTCCCTCCCTCCCCATAAATTCAAGATTTCACACAAAGCTTTGGTTTCTAGCAGTAAACATGGAGTTACATTCGTCCGTCTCCTATTTAACAATCTTGTGGCCACTTTGACATTAAGTTCTTGCACCTGCATAAAAAGTTCCTGAGTGACTTGGAAATACATTCATCTTCCCTTTCTTGGTCTCCCATCCCCACTTTCTATGTTTTTCTCTACCCTACGATTGGAGATTAAGTAGCTTTTGTCCATCCAAATACTAACAAGTTTTGGCATGAATCACAGCAAGGACTGGTCTTGACTCAGAAGGTTGGAAATGAGGGATGGACTGTTCCTAGCTTCTTCGGGTTTTTTAAACAGAATGTTTAAGGGTTGTGGAAATCCCCCCAAAATTAAATGTGTATATGTGTTGGGTTTTTTTTTTTAGGGGGGGTGCATGCTGGGGAGGTGGTAGGGTAGGAGTCAAATTTTTAGGACAGATGATCTGGCTCAAAAGAGGAAATAGGGGAAGGGGAACACAAAAGAAAGGATGGTTCAAGGCCCACTTCAAGAATAAGGGTCCCCAAGCTTATATTTCAGATCCTTTTGCCTGGTGCAGAACCTTCTGCCGAAGATGCTTTGGCTATTTATCTTTCAATACAAAAGAAGTTTGTAAACAATAAAGATCCCAAAAGAACATGGAGAAAGACCAACACATTATATTTACACAAACTAGGCCTCCTAGCAATCACCAAATCAGCAACTTGTGAAGTTCTACAAAACCCAGACATATACAATAACTAGAGGGGGCAGCATTTGGGAGAAACAAGAACCTAGGATCAGACACTTATCACCCAATGCGTTCTATTGCATTTGCCCCGTTTCAACACAGTGAGGTAGGTTTGCAGTGATCTCACAGCATGTAAACGAAACCCCCTTCCTCCTTTAGCTACCATGGCACTATGGCACCAGGTCAGGACAGTGGCTCTGGGCACCACAAAGAAACCCCCACTTGGGTTTCTCTGGTAGCCAAGCAGGAAAAGTCCAGAATTTTAAAGTTTTTAGGATTTTAGTCCTTGCTTCATATATCCATCCCAGGGCTGCACAGGATGGGTGTAGAGGTATCATTCTTAAAAACTTAGGCTACCAGATTTTCTCTCTCTCATACACACACACACACACACACACACACCCTTCCCCCACCCCCGTTGTGCATGGTAGGCCTAGCCTAATCCAGTGAAGAAAGGATCTGGTGTGTGAAGTGAGTCCCATGTCCTAGAATTAGAACAGGAGTCACTTATTACATTAGTGGACAACCGTCACCTAACCTTGGCTTCCTCTCTGAGTCTTTCATTTGGCCTAGCCTCTCCTAACCTCTTGGCATGACCTACCCATTCACACAAATTCCCAATCTTTCAGTAGAAGGAGATCAAGCCATGGACCAACCCAATAAAAACCTAGTCTCCCGTGGCACATTTTCAAGATGGAGGGGTTTCAAGAGGACACTATGGCAGAAAAGCCAGCTCTAATTGGCAAAAATGAGGTAGTTCAATAGACTATACACTCCAAATAGTTGTTTTTTGAGGTGATAAAGCAACAACAAAAAATATTCCTGCTGTACAGACCTGGGGCTGCTGCGAACTTATCCCTGAGATTGCTCATGTACCTGAGAACACAGTGCAGGAATGAGGGCCTTAGATTAAAATATACAAAAATATAAAACCAGAATATTTATATTAAAAAAAAAAAAAAAGTTAAAATGCACAAGATACGTCATTCGCACACAGCTAGTGCAGTTGGCATTCTGGAGAAAGTGGGACCCAAGGTGCAGTCATCCAAGGGAGCAAATAAATAAAACTGTATTGGCCCAGAATGGGGTGGGAGTGAGCTTAGGAACAGCAGGAATGCAGCTATTCCCCAAACACCCCTTTCGCCTAGCATCACAACCCACTACTTGGGACAGTTCCCAGCACCCTATCTCATGAGTGGGTTACGAAGAGACAAGACATGAAAAAAAGTCTGCCCTACTCCTAAGAGATTCCCTCCCAAAGAATATAGGGGCTTTCGGGTTAGGACCATCACTCTTGCATGGGAAATTATGTATCTTTTTTAAAATGAAAACTTCCCTAACCCAGGCCACTTTCAAAAGCCCAATATTCTCAGGGTGGAGCCTCAGATAAAGTTGCAGACTCCAGGGGGATTTATCCTGAAAGCCCTCACTTGCATTTGGATAAAGCATGGTTGGAGTTCCTTCGCCTCACTCCTTCCCCCCACACCAAGAAGGAAGAGGGGGTGATGCTGTGGAACCTGGCCTGAGATACATGGCAGTGCCAGCCCCCTATCTACCCTATCCCACTTTCTCCACTCTCTGCCGATTGATGTCTGCTCCTTGAAACTTCCTGATAGCAAAAGACTAGCTCCCACCCACTGTGGCTCAATTCTGGGTCTCTGGGAGCAGGGCAGGGCTATGGATCTCTTCCTCTTCTTCTCTAAAGTAGGCTGGCTTTCCCTGTGAGCTGGGGGTCTGCTGGGCCTTCAGTGGACATGAGGCTACCATATGGCTGATGCTCTGGCAGAAGTGACACTTCTTGGGCTGAGGTGGCAGCTTGCATTCCTTGGCATGATGGTCTAGACCTCCACAGTTGTAGCACCTAGTAAAAAGCAAGAAGATAAAGAGAGAAAGGAATGACAAGAGGTCACAAGGCTTCCCCTGAGCCTGGTCCAAGTTCTGTCATTACACTCACTTCCTGTAATGCAATTTTAAGTATCAACTTAGCTACACTATGGAGCCTAGATATTATGGTATGCTCCCTGAGTTTCCAGCCTGCCCTACAAGTTCCAGACTCACGACTGCAACATCAAGTCTTTGGACTTACGTACCAGGACCTACAACAGCCTGAGTCAATTTCTTAAAATAAATCTATAGGTTCTGTTTCTCCGCCGCTTTCTTCCTGATACATTTCCCTTCTTGGAGTCATATTTCCCCACATACAAAAGGAGGAATTTGAGTAGATTATTTCTAAAATCCTTTTCAGATCTCTTAATTGTCTAGATGATCTCTTCAGAGTCAATCCAACTTGGAAATGCTGAGAATAAAAGCCGCTGACCCCAATGGGGACTTCGTACTGAGAGACAGTGAAGAAGCAGATATGCTATCTCGAGCTCCTTTGTTGTTGTTGTTGTTGTTGTTGTTGTTATGTGCTGTCGAGTCGGACCCGACTCATAGCGACCCCTCCTTGGGTTGCCGAGGCAGTATCACTACGGAAGTAGATTGCCCCATCTTCCTCCCGAGGAGTGGCTGGTGGGTTTGAACCGCCAGCCTTCTGGTTAGCAGTCAAGTGCCTTAGCCACTATGCTACCAGAGCTCCCCGATCTCCTTTAGTACCCTAAAATAATTATGTGCTGTTAGTATTATTGTAGGTAACAGTCAAGGCTAGATCTCCCAGAGCATACTTACTTCCCCCAAACAGAAAAGCTAGGCTTTCTCAAGCTCCTGTCTCACATGCCATCCTCTTTGTGTCCACATCTATGGTAGGCACCCTAACCATCCAGGTATTCTCAAAGACCACAGGCTTCATTTTATCCTTGACAACCAGATCCAAGAGGTGGGGGCAGGACTGGGAGAATTCTCTTCATCCTCTGCACGTCCCAGGTCACCACATTAGCTGCCCTCCAAGCCATCCATACCTGTCTCCTTTTGACCTGCGCTTCTGCATGCTCTTCCCTTTTGGCCGCCTCTCACTCCCAATACAGAACACTCCACCAGGTCCTGTGACACGGATAGATTCCAGGCCCTTAGCAGATTTCTTAAAGGTGAACTCCACTGCCTCTCCCTCCTTCAGGCTCCGAAAGCCCTCCATGTGCAGCTTACTCTGGGGAAGGGAAACATGGTAGATTTTAACATTTATTAGTTCCCATGATTACATCAAACACACACACGTAATATTTTTTGCAGCTGTATTTGTTTAAGAAGAGCTTTGGCAGTGCAGTGGATAAGGCATTCAGCTGCTAACCAAAAGGCTCGTGGTTTGAAACCACTAGCTGCTCTGCAGGAAAAAGATGAAGCAGTCTGCTCCCACAAAGATTTACAGCCTTGGAAACCCTATGGGACGATTCTACTCTGTCCTATAGCATTGCCATGAGTTGGATCAATTTGATGGCAGTGGGTATGTTTTAAAGTGCCTCATTTCATTCTATACTATCATCAAAAGACCAAATAAGTATATAGAATACTAGAAAGAAGAAAAAATTACTTAAATCATTATAGCATCCCATAGATAGATCCAAAGACAAACCCAAAGTGAGAGATATTTTACAAAATAACTGGTCTATATTCTTCAAGAGGAGCCCTGGTTAGCTTGGGTGCTAACCAAAAGGTTAGCAATTTGAACCTACCAGCAGCCAAACAGGAAAAAGATGTGGCAGTCTGCTTCCGTAAAGATTACAGCCTTGGAAACGCTATGGGGCAGTTCTACTCTGTCCTATAGGGCCACTATGAGTCGACTCAATGGCCAACAGGGTTTTTTTTTTTTTTTTTAAAAAAAAAAAAACTTCAAAGTCAGAAAGGGCAAAAATCTGAAAATCTAAAGAAACTGTAACAATGCAATGTTATCAGGAAAAAAATTTGGAAAAATTAACTCAATTTGAATATGTAATGCCAAAAAGTATATTCAATTTCCTGATTTTGATCATTATACTGAATGATATAAGGGAATGGCCTTATTCTTTGCTAATGCACACAAAAATATTTAGTTACATTAGGTGCTTATGCCTAATAATTTATAGTTTATAAAAATGAATGAATGTATATATACAGAGAGAAGAAAGAGAAAACAAATGGAGAATAATGTTACAAATTGATGAATTTGGATGAAGGTTATATGGATATTTCTTGTAGTACTCTTGCAGACTTTTTCTAAGTTTGAAATTATATAAAACTTACTTAAAAGCTGTGGGGGCGGGGGCAATAAGACCCAGACACAGATAGATCAATGTATTAGAGTACAAAGTCCACTAAGAGATTAAAGCATACGGAGAAATTAAAAGATGAGGAAATAATTCATTGAGCACTGTTGAGAAAATTCATTATCCATCTGGAATTTAAGCCAGATTCTTATACTTCCTATTATTAAAAACCAAACCAAACTCACTGCCATCCACTCAGTCCCGACTCATAGTGACCCCTCCTTGGGTTGCCAAGGCAGTATCACTACGGAAGTAGATTGCCCAACCTTCCTTCTGCTAGTGGATTTGAACCCCCAGCTTTCTGATTAGCAGTCAAATGCCTTAGGCACTCTGCCACCAGAGCTCCCACTGACTTCCTATCATACATATGCAAAATAAATTTTAGAAATTCAGTACTTAAATATTAAGGAAAAAATTATCAAGGCAGGTATCAGACTGATAAAACAACAAAAAGCTATGATAAATCTGTAGGAAAAAGAATCACACAACAGAATATAAGGTAATTTGCAGGAGGACTTAGTAAAAAACAAATATTGGAAATAACTTAGTGGTTTATTAGGAGAATGACTGAATAAAATGTTAAATCTAATACTGAATAGAATGCAGCCATTGACAAGAATCCCAATTTTGTTTACTGCTGCAAGATTTAGGACAATGTGTGGAATAATCTCATTAAAATACTTTATGTTTGCACCAAAATTTAAAAACATCAACACTTGGCAAACATTTAGCAAAGTGCCTTTAAAAAAAAACAGGGACCCAAATATAACAGCCAAAATATATAAAATTTCAAACAAAAAGGAAAATAACCCAATCATAAAATGGGCAAAGGCTTGAATAGACATTTCACCAAAGAAGACATTCAAATGGCCACCAAACACATGAAAAAATGCTCAGTGTCATTAGCCATCAAAAACCAAACCCACTGCCATCAAGTTGATTCCAACTCATAGTGACCCCCATTGGGTTTCCAAGGTAGTAAATCTTTTACAGAAATAGATTGCCCAGTCTTCTTTCTGAGAAGTGGCTGGTGGGTTTGAACCTTCTGGTCTTCTGGTTAAGAGTCAAATGCCTTAGGCAATACTCCACCAGGAGCTCCTATTCATTGCACCAGAGATGCAAATCAAAACCACAATGACTCATGTCCATTGCAGCATTATTCACAACAAAAAAAAACCATGGAAACAACCTAAGTGCCCATCAAGGGATGAATGGTACATGCATACTACGGAATAGTGGATGAATCTGCAAAACATTTCACAGCATGAATGAACCTGGAGGACGTTATGCTGAGTGAAATCAATAAGTCAATCACAAAAGGACAAATATTGTATGAGACTACTTATTATAAAAAGTCAACACAGAAATAATTATTTGATGATACCAGGGATGAGAGGGGGAGGACTGGAAAAACACCAACTGGATAGTAGGCCTTAGGTGAAGGGAAAGATGATTTGCAATACGGGGGAGAGCAACACAACATAAGCAAGGTAAAGGAAGTCACTGGGAGGTACTAAGAGTAAAGGCGACAATAAATACAATTACATACAGAATACTGCAATAACAGCAATAAACAATTCATGAGTGGATACATAGGGAGATATGTAAACTGAACAGTTGTGGCCTAGGGTAAGGGAGCATACTCATGAGCATACATAGGTTTGGCAGAGGATATTTCTACATACACATTTCTATGTGCTGCAAATATATCCATGTATTTAATAGAGCACATGGGACAAAGTTTTGCAGACTTCTTAGCCATAACAAAACACCTTTAGGGACTGAGTCACTGGGCTTGATAGCTTAGGACCATAGTCTTGGGACATCTAGGTCAATTGGCATAACATAGCACATAAAGACAATATTAATATTCTACATTCTACTCTTCTGGTGGCATGATGCCTAAGGCATTTGACTGCTAACCAGAAGGCTGGTGGTTCAAACCCATCAGCCATTCCTTGGAAGGAAGATTGGGCAATCTACTTCCATAGAGATACTGCCTCAGAAACCAAAGGAGGGGTCATTATGAGTCAGGACCGACTCAACAACAGTGAGTTTGATTTGGTTTTGGTTTACTCCGGTGAGTAGTGACTGGAGTCTTAAAAGCTTGAGAATGGCTATCTAGGATATAACTATTTCTCTCTTTCTGTCCGGAGCAAAGAAGTGTAAAGAAAATCAAAGATTCAAGAGCTCTAGTGATATAGTGGTTGAGGCATTTGGCTGCTAATCAAAAGGTCAGTGGTTCAAACCCACCAGCCACTCCATGGAAGAAAGATGAGGCAATCTGCTTTCATAAAGATTTATAGCCTAGGAAACCCAATGGGGCTCACTATGAGTTGGAATCGACTTGATGGCAGTGAGTTTGGTTTGAAATTACATGATCCAGGAATTCAGTTCTTAGATATATACCCAAAAGACTTGAAAACAGACTCAAAATAAGACATGTACACTAATGTTCATTGCAGCACTATTCCCAGTAGCCAAAAGGTGGAAACAACCTATATGTCCATGAACAAATGAATGGCTAGACGAAATGTGGTACCTACATACAATGGAATATTACTCAGCCAGTCAGAGCGATGAAGTCTTTGTACAAGCAACAGTACTGTGAATGGAGCTTGAAGATACTATGCTAAGCAAATTAAGCCAATCACAAAAGGACAAATATTATATGACCTCATTTATGTTAAGGGAGCTCTGGTGGTGTAGTGCCTAGCACTTGACTGGTAACTAGAAGGCTAGTGGTTCAAATCCACCAGCACTCCTCGGAAGGAAGATTGGGTGATCTACCTCCAAAGTGATACAGCCTCGGAAACCCGAGGAGGGGTCGCTATGAGTCAGAGACAACTTGCTGGCACACATAACAACATTTATATTAAAAGATAAGAAAAGACAAATGTATAAAGATCAAAGTTTATTCATTGTGACCAGGGGAGGAAGGAAGGGGGAAAGAGTTAACTGTGATAGAAAAATTGCATTAATTAAGGTTAGAGTTGCACAACTACTACTATACTTGCTGTCAATAAACTACACATATAACAAGTTGAATTTGCAAAAATTGTGTGATAGATATATTTACAATGACCCCCCCCAAAAGAAAAAAAAAAAGTAGCTGCTGAGGCTGCCTATGTATAACAAATACCTCATGGGATTTGATTCCTTAATTTGGAGGTTTAGGGCCATGGCCTAATAATGCATTTATAGTGCTTCTGTTTTATCTCCTGGCTTGTTGTATAGTGCCTGCGGTCTTAAAAGCTTATTAAGCAGCCATTCAACGTACAATAATTGGTCTCTATTCATCTAGAACAACAGAGGAAGAAGAGAAGTGTCACAAGACGACAAGAACTGGGTAGTATCTGGCTCCCATTACTGAACATTTTTGATCAATGATTCCATGGAGGATTCTGATCAAACGGGGAAATGCAGAACAAAAATTATCATAGACTCCAGACTTCCTAGAACCATGGAGGGTGAATGAACCCCTGAAACTTTTGCCCTGAGATAATCTTTAAATCCTGAAGTCATCTTAAAATCAAATAATAGTTTAGCTTCACTAGTTTAAAAAAAAAAAAAAGGGCTGCCTGGAGCATTATGCTCTTCTAAGAACTATCTATATGGGATCAAACTGATAATAGCAACCTGAAAGATTAGACAGGAACCCCCTTAAGAGGGGCAGAAGGGAGCTATGGTGGCACAGTGGTTAAAGCACTTGGTTGCTAACCAAAATGTCGGCATTTCAAACCAACAGGAGAAAGACGTAGTCTGCTTCCAAAAAGATTTACGGCCTGGAAAACTCAATGAGGCAGTTCTCCTCTTATCCTATAGGGTGAGTATGAGTTGAAATAGACTCAGTGGCATTGGGTTTAGTTTTTATTTTAGGGAGCAGTGAGTTCATGTTAATGAAGAA